CCGCTGCTCCCCGCCGCTGCCCGCGAGCCCGGCCCGGCGCGCCTGACGTGGACCATTAAACTTGGAGCTGCCGCCTCGTCCCCTCTCTCCTCCTCCTCTTCCCTCTGACAGGCGAGCGCGCAGTCGGTGCCGGCAGGAGACGTGCTGCCGGGCCGGGCTGCCGGGGGGAGATGACTCCTCTCCAGGAGGGAGCCTCTGGAAAGAAGACCACGCGGGGAGCAAAGTTTCAGGGCAGCTGAGCCGCCTTCGCCGCAGCCCTTAGAGCCCTGTCACCTCCCTGGCTATGGAGGGCGGACTCTAAAATGAATCCCGATCTGGACACCGGCCACAACACATCAGCACCTGCCCACTGGGGAGAGTTGAAAAATGCCAACTTCACTGGCCCCAACCAGACCTCGAGCAACTCCACACTGCCCCAGCTGGACATCACCAGGGCCATCTCTGTGGGCCTGGTGCTGGGCGCCTTCATCCTCTTTGCCATCGTGGGCAACATCCTAGTCATCTTGTCTGTGGCCTGCAACCGTCACCTGCGGACGCCCACCAACTACTTTATCGTCAACCTGGCCATCGCTGACCTGCTGCTAAGCTTCACCGTGCTGCCCTTCTCCGCGGCCCTGGAGGTGCTGGGCTACTGGGTGCTGGGCCGGATCTTCTGTGACATTTGGGCCGCCGTGGACGTCCTGTGCTGCACAGCCTCCATCCTGAGCCTGTGCGCCATCTCCATTGACCGCTACATCGGGGTGCGCTACTCTCTGCAGTACCCCACACTGGTCACCAGGAGGAAGGCCATCTTGGCGCTCCTCAGTGTCTGGGTCTTGTCCACAGTCATCTCCATTGGGCCTCTTCTTGGGTGGAAGGAGCCGGCGCCCAACGATGACAAGGAATGTGGGGTCACTGAAGAACCCTTCTACGCACTCTTCTCTTCCCTGGGCTCCTTCTACATCCCTCTGGCTGTCATTCTGGTCATGTACTGCCGTGTCTACATCGTCGCCAAGAGGACCACCAAGAACCTGGAGGCTGGAGTCATGAAGGAGATGTCCAACTCCAAGGAGCTGACCTTAAGGATCCACTCAAAGAACTTTCACGAGGACACCCTCAGCAGTACCAAGGCCAAGGGCCACAACCCCAGGAGTTCCATAGCTGTCAAACTTTTTAAGTTCTCCCGGGAAAAGAAAGCAGCCAAGACCTTGGGCATTGTGGTCGGCATGTTCATCTTGTGTTGGCTACCCTTCTTCATCGCTCTACCACTTGGTAAGTCGGGGACTGGCAGAGGGGAGCTAGGCATTTTCAGATCTTGGGTTTACTGATGAGCTTACTATAAAGTTTTTTGTGGGTTGCTTTTTTTTTTTTAATGCAGTCTGTGTGTGTTTGGAGGTTGGAGAATATTGTTTACTCTGCAAAGGCTTTGCAGATTGGGTATCTGGCTAAGAACAAACTAAGGTGTTAGTAGAATGCGCTAAGGTACGAGTCACTTGAATAGAACCACAGGAGGAAAATCTGGTATGTGGAATGACTCATTCAACAGCCTCAGTTTAATAATTAAACAGGACACTGGACTTGAGCATCACACCAGCATTATTTCAGTAGTAATGACGTGCCGGCTAAGGCAGCGTCACTAATGCAGCATACAAAATAGTTTGTAGTTACCGCAGACGCGGCATTTGGGAAGCAGGGAGGCAGCTCGTACACAGAAAGGCACTTTTCATTCAGCACTTCCAGGGCTCTTGCAGAGACCCATGCCCCTCAGGAGCCTTGCAGAGGCTGCGTCCTCCCCCTCTTCCCTTCACCACTTGCTATCACCCCAGTGCACTGTCTTTATTATGAGTTAATCAGAGGATTTTACAGCCTCACAGTCCTAACCAGTCTTTGATCTAAAGCTTGAGATTTGAAAGAGAAGGAAGATGGCCAGAGAGTCACACATTCTCAGTTTTCACCCCAAAATCTTCCTAACTCTGGTGATTTATAGAATGCTCAGAATTAAATTATACTTGCCCCTCACCTTCTGCTGTCAGACACCAAATCCTGCTAATCTGAAATTAAGCCCTTACTCTCCTATGAAAACGTGCCCCCCTTCTTCTGTTTGGGGGTCCTACTGAGTTGTTGAAAAGGTTACCTGACTTCTTCTAAGAACAATGCTGAGGTTTGGTTAGGCGGTAAACCTAGGGGAGGTCCTGTGACAAGCTGTCCACATGGCTCAGGAAACACTTGTCTCTTGTCTGAGGCATGATCTGCTTTGATTTTTTTTTTTTTGTCCCTGAGGGACACTCTAGAAAATGAATGGAGGGAGGTGATCATGGCAGAGACATGTGCTGTGATATCAAAAGAGGCAATGGCTACTACACGCCATGGACCACTGATGCCTGCACTCACCCTAGGGGCTCATTTAGAACTGAATATAACCAGATCCCTCAAGTAACAAAAATCCTAAAGACACACTGCATCCAAGAGAAATAGATGGAAAGAGGGCCAAGTGATATCAGGGGGTTCTGTTTTAAAATGATAAAGAAAAAAAAAGCTGTTTAACCTACCCTCCATATTGTCATTTCTAAGGCCAGCTTGCGAGCTAATGTCTTTCAGAAATATTTTCAGTGTGTTAGGTGGAGAGAGATTGAAGCTCTACCCCCAATAGTGATCACATCCCACTGCACAGAAGCTTTCTTTTCTTTCCCAGGGTCTCTGAGTCCTTTTGCAGGCTTATCGGGTTAAAGTGGATGACAGTTCACACTGCATTGGATCATAAAAAGATCATGGTTGAACATGGAGGTCATTTGGCCACTAATTAGCCATGTGACCTTGGGCAAATGATGGCTTCTCTGTGAGCCTCAGTTTCTTCATCTGCATTATAAGGCTAATTACTCTTTGCTCCATGGGGTTTACGCTAGTGCATAAGAGGACTTAACACAGTATCTGGTACACAGCAAATGCTCAATGAAATTTAGCTCTTGGTGCTACAAATCAAACCACAATCACCTCACAGCTTTAACTGTGTTTTCTCCTACTCTATTCTCTTGCCAATCCCATGCCTGTTACTAAAGGCTCAGAGGGAACTAGCTCTTTCTCCTTTCTTACTTCTTGCCCTGATCCTCAGCCTGCAGAGGCTGTGACCAGAGCATCCTCAGGAAGGACAAGGCCCCCGCAGGACGCAGGAATGCATCAGAGGTGCAGACTTTCACTTTAGGAAGCAAGGGAGACCGCTCCAAACAGGTGAGCAGGCTGCCAGCATGTCGAAATGCAAAGAGCACTGCCCTGAGGGTCAGGAGCAGTAGAGTTTCCATGTGAGCTTTGCCGGCAATTAGCCCTGTGACCCCAGGTGTGTTGCTGTGCCTTTCGGGGCTTCAGATGTCACTTCCAAAGAATGAGAGGGTTGGACTAGATCAAGGGCTCTCAAACTTTGATAGGGATCAGAATCACTTGTGGAACTTGATAAAAATTCAGCTTCTAAGACCTAACGTACAGAGAATCCAACTTAGCAAATCAGAGGAATCCCAGGAATCGCGTGTCTAACCAACCCGCCAGGCAGTTCTGAAGGGGTGATCCACACCAGGCTTTGGGAAGCACTGGCCAGAGGATCTCTCAGCTCGCTTCAGGCTCCAGCCTTCTGGACACCAGGGTCTTTAAACGCTGCCCAGGTTAGTCCTTCCCTGGCCACATGGTGGTACAGGATGATGTGGCTTCTCTCTGGGTCTCGCTCTTCAAGCCCACCCTCGGCTTCTTCTCACTTACACTCTTTCCACTTCCCTGCCTTTCTGAGACCTTATCTTCCTAACATCTCATGTGCTTGGCTTCCACGCCATAGAAAGTAAGCCGTTCTTGCCACTCTGATGCTATCAGAGCTTGTTTCTCTTCTCCCTGCCGTAAAAACTTTGTGACCAACCATGCCGTTATCTCCCGGAGATCTCCAGTGTACCGTCCCTGAGCCGACTCGGTGCACATGCTTCTCCCCTGGAAGCCCCACCCTTGGCAGCCAAGGAATACGGACTCCAGGCCGTGAGTTTGGGATGGACTTTGAAAGTTACTCAAGAGTTTGAAACAGAAAAGTTGCTTAAGTAACACATTCTTAGAGCATCCAAGCAAAATGGAGATGCAGGCTTGTACTTCCTCCGAGTTCAAATAACACCCAAGTGTAAGTGGCGGGATGTAGAACAGTAACGCCTTTGGAATCTGAAGCCGTTTCCAAATTCTAAATTTTCCATGAAAGGCTTTTCACTCAGAAGGGGAGAAAGCAGATCTGGGGGAAGACAGCGGTTGGCAAACAGAGAAGCCCAAGTAGGAGTAACTTCTGGTTGGTGATAGACGGGCAGGTGCCTGGATGGCATGTGATTCTATCCCTGTGTTTGTGTTCTCCATGGGAGAGAAGGGTTGGGATCAGGAGGGAAAATAGCCTTGCCCCCTACAGGCTCCTGGTCAGGGGCCCCATTTGTTTTCCTTCCTCCCTTATTTTTATTTTTGGGAGCGACACTGGGCTGCCTACAGAGCCAGGCCTCTCATCTCCTGCAGGGCCTCCCCACCTGAAGCACCCTGCCTATCTCTTCCTCACCCTTTCCCCGTGGCCTCAGCCCACGTTGGGCCAGGGACCAGCTCTCACTTACTCAGGAGCAGGGATGGATCCACCAAACAAGGACCTCTTTATTCAGCTCGTGGAATCAGGCCGCGGAGGGACAGGAAATAACTGGAATATGATATAGCAGCATTTCCACCCAACGGGCCATGTGCAAGATGTCCAAGGAATCTTCAGCTGCCTGGCATTATACAGAAGGCCAACTCCCACCCGCCTGGGGAAGGCCTGGTCAGGGTCTTGAGAAGTGGCTGGGCTGTTGAGGGATGTGTGTTGCATCAGAAGGACAGATGGGGGTAGGGGTGTGGGTAGAGGGAAGTGTTGGGCAGCCAACTGGTAGCTGGGCTTAGTGCGTTGTTTAGAAAACACTGGAACCTTGCCTCGCTCCAGATCTTTCTTCCGCCTTTTAAAATGCTGAAAGGCACCAGGAAGCCATTATTGAACTAACTGCTTTCCCCTCCAAATAAATGAAGGTTAATTTCAAAGACACAGTTGTGCTCTCTATAGTACTGGTACCAAATAGGAATCCCTCTCTCTGCTGATGAGTTTCTCCGGTCCTGTCACTCAAATGCAGGGTGATGAATTTCCACACAAGAGCGCAAGGGAGGGCGAGGGTCTCAGAGATGACTCAGGACAGAGCTACCCCCATGAACACCCACGCACTAATCCTCTGGTTCTGAGGTTTCAAAACACAGGGATTTGAGTTGCTCACAAGGAAAGCAATTGGTTTACTCAACTTTACACGTAGAAGAAATTTTACACATAGGGAATCGTTCCCGGAAGAGGAAAATCCTACTGAAGGAAGATACATTTGGCCTTTATGAAATCATTAATGAAGACTTCCTAAAGCACCTACTATGTGCTAGGTTTCGTACTAACCATTGTTGAGCCAAAGCAAACGTGGCCCCTGCCTGCAGGAGGCTTGCAGCCTAGTAAGATTGTATTATCACCGAGCACATACTATGTGGCAGACATTCCACTAGGCTCTCTGCAGACATTATCTCACTAATCCTCACAGCTACCGTGACAGCAGAGAGTAATTGCACCCTCTTGACAGATGAATATCCCGAAGCTCAGAGAGGTTCGACTTCTTGCCCAAGGTCACACAGCAAGTAAATAATAGAGACAAAAATTGAATCCAGATCTATCAAAACAGGCGCTTACCCAATCCACTGCACAAAGGAGATGTCTGACCTTTTTGCTTTCTGGTCCCAACCAGCTCTCAAAGCAAATGTTCTCTAGGAACCCCAGAAACACCTTGTGAAAAGCTGATTATTCTACTTCTGTTACAAAACTCTGTCTTTCTTCCATTCCCCACCCCTGAAGAGTCACTCGTAAAATGTCAGGGAAGGTCGTTCAAATTCCAGCTCCTCCTGCACTATGTACAATATGGGTCTCTCGAGGTTGCACATTTAGTCATCCCAACTGGAAAGAAAGGGTGAGACCTTGCCCTTCATCTAGGGACCTGGCTCTGCTATTTTAATCATCCGTTCATTCATGCAATCATTCATTCACTGAATGAGTATGTGTTTATTGGAAGCCTGCTAGGGCCAGGCATGGTGCTGGAGATACAGTGGTGAGCAAAGCAGCTGTGTTCCACGTTCTCATAGAATTTTGTTCCAGTGGGGAGCACAAGTAATTTGAAAAACACGCACGCAAATAAACGTGAATGCCAGTTGTGATGAGTGACTTGAAGAAAAGGGGTGAGCTGCAATTTAGAAGCATACACCAGGGATCAGTATATCACGGGGTCCCTGCGTGGTGTTTATGCAGAACCCTGAGCAGTTTGGAGGAGTTACTTCAGTGGAGGGGGCGGGTAGAAGAGGAGGGCTCCAGGCGGAAGGAGCAGTACACCTGAATGTCCTGAGGCGGCAGCGGATGGGGAACAGCGGGGAGGCAGGTGCAAGTCGAGGCTGGAGGTGTGGGCAGAGGCCAGGCCATGCAGGGACTTCTAGGCCACATTAAGGAGTTTAGATTTTATCTTAAATTGCACTGGCCACTACTGAAGGGTTTGAAGCAGACAAGGGATACAATCTGAATTACA